GTAATAGTAGTAGTTTTATATAAAAAAGTTTATAATACTAAAAGATCTTAAATAAGCAATATTACAAATACATTGAAAACAATTTAATGAATTTTTCCTTTTAATTTATGCAGTCACATAAATTGTCCTATAATTAACATAACTTTCAACTAATTTGCTTCACCTTCGAACTGTGGGAACTGCGCTATCTGTAGGATGTTTTTTTGATGTGACTGCAACGAAGTAATTAATGACATTTACATTTAAATTCCGTGGGCTTATTTACAAAATGATTTTAATGCAATTTAAGTGTTAAATGTAAAAAACGAGTTTTTCAATTCAACTATGGTTGAAATTTCAATTGAGAAAGAGAGGTAGATGGAGGGAGCAGATAGAGAGAGAGAGCACTTGAATGAAACTTGAATTTGAAGCACTTTGCGGCTTGTCCGACAATTTGTCACATCACTCAAAGTGAAGTGCGCGGCAAGAGAGCAGGACATGGCAGGACATGGAAGGACCTGGGCGAGGACATCGTCTAGAGCTGAAAACTCAAAATGAATGAATGATGACACACGCAGCTAATTGCGCTGGGCAGCAACAAAAATGATATTTGATTGAAGTTGAAGTTAGAGAAAAGGGATATATATATATATGTGGGCTATAGCTACGAATATAATTTACAGTTAGAGCGTGACTGGATAGATTTTTGAGTGCTGCGATCGACAGACAATCGCTCATATATTGTCGTTTTTTTTTTTTTGTCTTTCTCTCTGTCTCTTTGACAGATGTCAGAGCTCGCTTTTTAGTCGCTGTGCGCCATGGACTACGGTAAAGGGTATATTGATGAGTTGGCCAATTAAGGATTGATCGATAACTTGGCAGACAACTGGCGGATTGGTAATATCGATTTCAAGTGATTGCTTGATTTTAATTTATAATTGCCAAACAATTCGAGTAGGGGGTGGCTCTCAAGTGTTGCGAGACGACGGGACGAGAGGAGCGACAGAGAGTTCAACCCCGCTTCGACACGCCGCATAGATTTTTATTGTTATTGTCATTGTGGTTCAAATGCCGCAGGGTGGGATTCGTATTCACACTCGTATTCGTATTTTCGTATTATCACTTGAGGCTTTCAGCCTTTGGGCCATTGGAGTCGTGTCAATTATGCGCATTTCGTTAATTTCGCTCGCCCATTGTGCGAAATTTACATTTTATTAGTTTTACATGCTCGAGGCATTAAAATTATTTACGATCCCAAATATTGTTGGTTGTAAATAATTTCGCTGGCACGTGGAAAACACACACACACACACACACAGGCACACATGGCCTACAAACATTAATTGTAAAATGTAACGGTCAGTGCTTGACCTTTTCCTAATTAGTGGCACATTGTTCCGGGCCTATTTCCTATTTCTCTCTATCTCTCTCTCAGCTTCCCTATCTCCAGAGAGCTATGCCAGGACATGCGCCTTTTTAAATGTTTTTCAAGTATGTTGCGATTTCGTAAATGGATCGACGACAGACAATTGTTCCACTTAGCCATACATATGTATGTGTATATACTATATACATTAATACTGATAAGAACATCAAAAAAGAAAACGAGGCGGAAAGTTAGCTAACGAGAGCTCGACTAGGGCATGAGCTAAGTTGACATGAATCGAGCGAGAGTATAGAGAGCGAGAATATAGAGCATGAATTGAGTTAGAATATATGATGTATATATAGGGAATCTATAATTTATAGCTTCTAGCTAAACTCTTTACATCATATAATATAACTGTTTATACATCATCATTATGTGTAGTAACACATTATTATTATTTTGATATCATTATTATTCTATCAAGTTACAAAATCATTATACCCATTACATATTGCTTACAGGGTATGCACAACGTGCACCGATTATAAGCACAGCTCTCATTTTGTTGAATCAGTTAAGATTTGCAGTTGTCTTATGCCAGACGTCGTCGCGCTTGTGCTTCTAGAGAGTAATGGACACTCAGGGCATCAACTTCTATGACAAGGAGCTGGACATTGGTCGCGTCATAGCCGAGGCCAAGCTGGAGGACTGCGATGAGGCGCTCAATATATGCGATCTGAGCTCTGTGGAACGTAAACTCGAGCTGTGGCAAAAGCAGCTGCCGCGCATCACGCCCTTCTATGCCGTCAAGTGCAATGATGACAAACGGATTGTACAAACTCTGGCTGATCTCGGCGTGGGCTTCGATTGTGCCTCGAAGAACGAGCTGAAACAGGTCTGTATAGCCTCACTAATTGATTTACATATATATATGTATATATATATACATATATTTATATATGTTTCAGTTTCAATTAATATATTCAATTAATAATATTCATTTATTTGACTAATTAACAAATAGGTTCTCGATTATGGCGTCTCGCCCGATCGCATTATCTTTGCCAATCCCTGCCGTCCTATCAGCCACTTGGATTACGCCAAACAGCAAAATGTGCTGAAGGGCACCGTGGACAATGAATTCGAGATTTACAAGCTGCACAAACACTATCCCGATTCTAAGTGTGAATTGTCTTTAGTCTCTCTCTCTCGCTCTCTCCTATTTCATTATATTCTATTAACAGCCTCATAGTTCGCTTCAAGTCCGAGGCAAAGGCCGCTCAATGCCCGCTGGGCGATAAATTTGGTTGCGATGCGGACATTGATGCCTCAGCGCTGATGCTGCTAGCGAAATCACTCGATTTAACAGTGAGTCATATAAATAAATCAATTTAAATTCAAGTAAAGAAGCACTGTCTATATTAAAATCAGCCAGAGTTAAGTAAACCAGTTTATATATACTCAATCAGCAAACAAAATTTGCTTAATTTTTACCCAAATCTCCAGGTGACCGGCACCAGTTTTCACGTCGGCTCCGGTTGCTCCGACTTGGAGGCCTATGAACGCGCCATCAAGAAGGCAAAAAATCTTTTCAAGTTTGGTCAACTCCTGGGCTACGACTTGGATCTGTTGGATATTGGCGGCGGCTTTCCGGGCAGCGATGATGAGCACTTCATAAAGGTGCGTAGCATCTGAAAGACTTGCTAAATTATAGACTTGAATTAAATGTGTGTGCATACAGCTGGCTGGCACGGTGAACAGTGCCGTGCAAAAGTATTTTCCCGATGAGCGCATTCAGGTAATTGCCGAACCGGGTCGCTTCTTTGTGGCTGCATCGTATACCCTGGTCTGCAAGATTCATGCCAAGCGCGAGGTGCGCAACGCCGCTGGCAAGCTGGACACCGTTATGTACTATTTGAACGATGGCGTCTATGGGTCCTTCAATTGCATACTCTACGATCATCAGACTGTGACAGTGGAGCACTATTTGGTAAGGCATTTGCCAATATGAGATATATATACCGTACCTTACCATAATCAAATATTTACTATATATCTAATATAACCTCAGCCTACCGATCCTTCGCTGCCCACATTCAAGAGCTTGATCTGGGGTCCCAGCTGCGATGCTCTGGACAAGGTAACTTGTATTTACTATCCACATATAGCTATAATCTACCCAACTTATGTTTATATCTCACTGCATTTCTAGATATCGGAAAATCTACGTTTGCCCTCCTTGAAGCGTGGCGATTTCCTGGGTTTTCCCAACATGGGCGCATATACAGTGCCCATTGCCAGCGCCTTTAATGGTTTCCCCTTGCCGAAAACGCTTTTCTTTAAGGCCATATGACTAAGTGATTTGGCATCAAGAAATAAACAAGAGATGTGTGTGTTAGTAACCAATATGATTTTTTATTCATTACAATTGCTCCATTGAGAACTTAGGATATGTTTGTTTACAATACTAAAGAGTATTCTCTGCTAAGTTCAACAACAAAGACATTGGAACTGCTCCATGGATTCGCTTTTGCTTATTTTTGTTTTTTTCATTTTTTGTTTTTGCAATTTTTCAAAAATATTTTGAAAAGAACAGCTATCACCAAAACTGACCCGAATTGGAATAATCAGCGCATTCTTTTGAAAATATTAAAGTTTTCTTTTTGGGAAAATATACATACATACATACATATATATAGAGTTTGATAAAGATTTTTGCTGAGTAATGTACGCCAGTTGGTTAACTGACCCAACCAAGACTGAAGTACATTACCTTGGACAAAATAGAAATATAAAATAGGTATATGTATGCATGTATATATATTGATATATATGTATATATATATAACTTAATTCAAATACAATTCAATAGAGTTTCACATATTAATATCAAAAAATCAAATCAAAAAACAATTTCAAAAATTGTATTCTCTTAATATCAAAAATTCTTGCTCATGCTCAAAAGTAGATCTATAAAATTGTTTTTTTTTTTTTTCTTGTCTGATATGTTGTGATATGGTATAACGATTATTTGTATATATATATATTTATAATAATTGATATCGTGTATATGCGCTTATCGCTTTCCTCATGTTTCTCTCTTGCTTCTGCTTGCTTTTGCTCGCATATAAAGAGTACAAACTACTTATTTCATAATCAGTTCTTGGTGATTGATGCAAATATTATTTCCTTCTTCTTTCGTTTGAACGCGTACAATTTTCCATTTCTCATTTATATTAGTGTTATCATTATTAGATGGTATTACATATACATATAGAGTTAGTAATTCTTTGGTAAATAATTCGAAGTTTGGAAAAATTTCGACTAGGTTTTCTTTTTTTTTTTCTTTTTGATATGCTGCTTGGCGGAAAAAACTTGAATAGCAAAATGTAATACGATACATATATAGAATATATACATATATGTGGATAAAAACAATAAAACAACAGATTTCATTATAATGATTGTATCTCACAACAGCGACGACGACATAGTAGTACTACACACATAGGCATGCACAATAAATAGGTACATATATGTGCTCTTAGAGTTCTATGATATAATATTTAATAATATGATAATAATAATAATAATAATATCGCTTAACTGTAACAATTCACGTTTCTTTTCAGATATGTATGCGTTTTCAGATATGTTTGCGTTTACATTTTCTTTTAGTTATTTACTCTTAATTCTAAGCTACAATTCGATTTCCGATCGACAGGTTAACAACTAACGATCGGCCTTCCGTTTCTCATAATTTTTTTTTGTCGGGCTACTGTTTCGAATGTCTGAAATGTTCTGTGTGCGTATTAAATGGATATTTTATGATTACCTTTCGAAATTATCTCTGTCTTTATAGCACAATTCATTATATTGGCATCACAACGATATATAATTTAACAAGGTGGGTGTTTGCTTTTTATAATAGTTATTTTGCTTTTAGATTTTGTCTTGCATTTTTGTGTAATTCAGTTTCGATGGGGCACTTGCGGGTGATATTGCAGCTTGTTTGTTTTTGAGTGGGAAGTTGTTGTTGTTGCTGTTGTTGCGTGCATATTGTGTCTAACAATTGCCAGAGTTGCATAATTCACGGATTCACTATTATCTATAATAAAAAATACAATACAACAACACAGAAATGGCTTGTAGACATACATAAAATTGGACATTTGGGAATTGGGAATCGGGGGAGCGGGGTGGGCTGGTATGGCTGGGCTTAATAGGTATCACTTCGGCTAATGATCTGATCTGATCTAATGATGATCCATCAATATGGATAAACGGAGCAGAGCAAACATAACAAAACAAAAACGGGAAATGTGTGAATGCAATTACGATACGTTTGCGTATGCTGCTTTTAGTTAGGGAGCTTCGCATTTATATTTAAATGCTACTCAGAAAGGCCACGCTACCCATGGCCAATTGGGCCAAAATGTTCACTTGCAGTATCCGCATTAGACCGCCGCTGGTGGGTGAGGGACTCACATTGAGGCCAGCACAGTGCATCTTCTCGATGGGCATCGCTTGTACGAAATATTCGCGATTATCCAACGACATGTGGCACAGTGGCTTCTTCTTTTGTGACATTTCATCGTCCTTGTTCTTCAGATCCTCCAGCAGCTTAGGGAACCAAATCAATTCACACGAACAGTTTAATGGGTTGTCTGTTGAAGTCATTAATAAACATCATATTAAAAGTTATTTTCCACTAATATTCCATCTACTTGCCAGTGATATCAATTATGCGCAATGTATCGATGACCGGTTCCATTGTATCCTGTGGAATGCGTTGCATTTTATTATTCTGCAAATTTAATGTCTCCAGCGAATTGAGGTTCTCGAAGAGGGTACTGGGCAGTACTTTAATGCTATAATTGAGTCAAGTTATTATTTGTGCCAATATTCTACATATATTCTATATATATTTTGATTGCTTTACTCGTTCTTCTGCAGATTAAGGAAGGTGAGGGAATCGCCGTATCCAGTAAATGCATCATCGGCCAGCACATTGATATTGTTATTTCTTAAATCCAAATGGCGTAGACGATGCAATGGGCGCAATGCCTCACTGGGTATGGCATTTATATTATTATCGCCCAAACGTAAATATTGCAGATTCTCTGTGAATAATATATATGCATATAAATATATTTAAATGACTCATTATAGAACTCACCCTCTAGTCCCTTAAACGCGTCTTTGTCAATTACACTAATCTTATTGCCCTCCAGCTCCAGCGAGTTGAGTAGACTCAAGTGTGTGAATACATTTGCAGGCACAGTTGTAATCATATTATGTGCTAATATCAAAGAATCCAAATTCTGAAGACCTGTCAATAGGAATATATGTATATATTTGAGTATTAAATTATCAAAAATTGGCAGCTAACTCACCTTCAAAATCTCCTTCACTGATCGTTCGTATTTTGTTCTCCTGTATCTCGAGTTTCTTTAGCGTATCCAGTATGGAGAGCGCTTTTTGTGGCACACTTGTAAGCTCATTACCACCCAGGTTCAAGCGCTTCAGTTTTCTACAAAAAATATCTGTTTATAACAATTCAATAAATTTTCTTCAGCTACGTGTACGTACTTCTCTAGCCCGCGGAACGCTTCAGGATCAATCTGTGATATTTTGTTCTCATAGAGCGTTAGAATCTCCAACGTGTCCAGGCCCTCAAAAGCGTTATTATGAATTACGGTGATTTTGTTGTGATTCAAGTTCAAAATCAACAAATGATATAAATGTTGCAAAGCCTGTAAAAAAGATTTATATTTAGTAAAGTTTTGTTAACAAGTATTAGCAATTTAAATAACCGCGCAAATTGTTATTATAGATGACTCTTTGATTCACAAACACTATCGATAGGCACACCTATCGCTCATACTTGCAAATAAATTGAGATGGCATGCATATCGATATGTAAGTACGATCAAAATGAACTCACTTGCGATGGAACCGTTTTCATTTGATTTAATGAAACATCCAGCTGTGTGAGTCCTTTTCCTACAAAAAAATGTATATATAACTATTTAATATCATATACGTATCTAATTTCTGAACTTACCAAGCGAACTTAATGCATTCTCCTCGATGGCTGCTAAACTGCTGTTGTGTATTGTCAGATGACGTATGTCTAGAGCCAGAAATACAAATCCCTGCAGCTTGGGCAAATTATTGTGTCGCAGCTTCAAATAGAATATGATTGGACTTTTGCCCTTCAATGTGCCCATGGATTTGGCAATATGCGACAGGTCCGTCGTCTCGCACAATACATCCAGTCCATTCTTCTTGACGGTGCATATACAGGGAGCAATATCAGCCTGCTCCGGGCACACCTGTTGCGGTGTACCCTGCGCCATTGTCTGGACCAGCAGAGCCAGCATCAAACAGCTTACGACGCCCACTGTATGCGTACATTGGAATAGCAGCCGCATTTGTCCTACCATGTTGACACGCACACTCGCACGGACAGCAAAGCTCAGCTCTACTCAAGCAGCGATTGGTGTGATTCCACTAAGCCGTTAATGCTATATACAGTTGTGTCCCTGTGGAGAATATAAGAGTGTGTATAAATATAAGAGTCTATGCAAAAGCGAATTACAAAGCGAAAAGCGAATTACAAATTAAGCGCACAATGCGCGATTCGGATTTATGCATGTGTGTGAGTGGGCTAGTGTGCTCTGTGTGAGTGTTTGTGTGTTTGGCGGATTAAAAATAAATTGAACTAATTGAGCAGCACTTGACGTATAGTCGTTGTTGTAGTTGCTGCTCAGCGTCCAAAGTTACGCATGAAAATTGCAACTAAATATTAGCAAATGTGTACATATGTATATTTGAATAAAATGTGTACATATGTATATAAAAATAATGGACATAAAATAAAAACCGTTAAACTCACCTAAAATGTTTGTCCGTCCCTATTGAATCAGTGCCATATAAATCATGCTTCTTAATGCGACGTTACGGCGTGAAATTAATTAATAAACCTTTTATCAAACACGCCTTTCCCACTTTTCCGATTTTACAGTTTCCCACAGTCAACAACAACAAGCAACAATTAGTCAATGTTGACTTTCACTCCGCACACACGCACCCACACACAGGAGTGAGGAGTGCAGCCTCTGCCCCTGGCTGGCTGTGTGCGTATGTATGTGTCTGTGGCTGTGTGTGTTTGGGGAGGTTGTGGTGGTTGGTCTTAAAGAGGGGCGTGTATAAACTCGGTCAGAGTGTGTGTATAACGATGTAACGGAAAATCGATATCATTCGACAAAAAAAAGGAAGGAACTGTTGCCACTCAGCGATGCTTTTATCAATTATTCAAAACACTTTGTTTATGTATTATATTCGTATTAATGAGTATGCACTAGCATTTAAATTAGCTGAAATCTCGCTCAATTATTGCCGCATTAGGTGAACATAATTTTATTGTGTCGCTTGAAATTGTGTTGTGGCAACGCTTAAGTTGATTTTTTATTGTGATTTTCTTTTTTTTTTATACTTTGCTGCGCGCTGACACACGCATTAGCTGAGTATAAATAAATAAATAAATATATACATATATACAGATATATGTATATATATGTGCGTATTTTGTAAGAAGGGAAGGCGGGGTGGAAAAGAAATCAGTACAAACAGCGCGAATAAGAAGCACGTTTACTTGGCAAAACCGACGACAACGGACTGAAATTTCAAAATTTCGAAACATTAGTGGTTGCTCCAGCGCAGTTTCAAGCTGAGCAGTGCTGGCAAGCACATCCCTAAATGGCATTGCCGTCCTGATGTGCGATACGGTCAGCTTAAAAGAGCAGATGTTAATAGTAATCGAATACAACATATCGAATGTAATGAATACCGCTGCAAATGTGTACATTTTAAATTTTTAAATTCAATCTCAGCAAAATCACAAGTTTTCTACAAAACAGGTAACGTAAATATTAAAACTCGAGGAAGAACTAAGGAAAGGTGAATACGAACTCAAAGCCCCAAAATTCGTTAGAAACATAGCAACCGTACGAATCCGTTCTATGGAAATCTATGGAACAGTGTCATAATTAGTTTACTTCGTCAGCTGAAACAACAAAATTGTTCAAAGTTTTTCTGTACTGTGTATTTGTTTTTTATTTTGTTTTTTGTTTTGTTCTAGAAAATAAAAAACAATGGTTAAATGCGACAAGGATCTAGCTGCAAGACTTATTGCGGAATTTTTAGGCAGTATGCTTGTGCAAAGCATCGGTTGCAGTTACAGTGGTTCGGTATATAGCCTGACAAGTCACGTTGCATACGCATTCACATGGGGAGGCTTAATAATCGTTGGAACTATGGCGTTTCGAATTGTATCCGGTGCTCATTTGAATCCAATAATCTCGCTTGCATCCATTATATTGAAAAATATTAAATGGGTAGATGGCCTACTGTATATGGCAATGCAATTAGCGGGCTCCTGTCTAGGCTACTGCATCGCTTATGCTATGTTCCGTGATCCGCACTTACACGCAAATTTCTGTGTTACGCATGTCCTGGCAGACCCATGGTGGAAGGCTTTGATTGTCGAATTTTATATAAGCGGTGCTTGGGTTCTAGCTTTCTGTTCATCGGTTCATGAAAGCCATGAGCAACCAGATGAGTCCGTATCATTGAAAATCGGGTTCGTTGTTATTTGCGCTACTTTCGTCGGGGTAAGCATATATATATATATGTATGAAAAATATGTATAATATATGACATATCTTGATTTTGTTAGACACAATATTCTCGGTCCTGCATGAATCCATTCCGATCTCTTTGGCCCGCTCTCTTTTACGGTTATTATAAGTATATCTTCATTTATCTGGCCATACCATTTGGGGCTTCTGTAGCGCTGGCCTTTGCTTGGCGTTACCTCTATTTGTTGAATGCTGACGAGACTGTCAGCGGACCTGGAGGACCCGACAAGGATTAATGACCTTCAACTGCAGTTTTCAAGCCAAAAAAGAACACAAAATCAAATTGTCAAATCGCTCCACCAAATGCAGATATTTAAATATTTATCATAAATTACTGAAGTTGTAATAAATTGGTGAAATCGTTTGGACACAGAGGTAACTCCATTTATTATTTTTTTTTTTTTTTTTGTCTAGACCATAAAAACTAGAATCATTCGTGCTATGAGCTCTGAATGATTGGGGGCATTAATGGTGATTGGATTGCAAGGATCAACTCCACCGGAAATCATTGTATCTAAAATTTCTGTATATTTTGTGAAATATCGGGCATCCAGAGTGGCGATCAGGCTGGAGGATTTTTGTTATTTACTACTCTTTGAGATATCCAAGATCTCCACATCAAAAAGAACCGCAGCTCCATTGATTAATAAATGAGCGTTCATCTAAGCAGCCGCCTAAAATATTTGCATTTTTTTATATATGTATCTAATTTAAGTATTCTAAATAGAATTAGAGTACATGGGCGTAGTGCAACGAGATGCTCGGCTTTGTACTTTTAAAGGGCCACGCCTATGCCAGCAGGTGGCGTATAGAAGAGGCACTGCATAGCCTCCTGGAGAGCACGCTGGCATGCTAAGGCGGACGTGAAGCCGCCAGCATTCTCCTGCGGCGTCTCGGGCCTTATATGTGAGACGTAGCCCATGGACTCGACTTCGGCAAGGGGCGGCGGAGTTGGACCTTCGGTGATGGGAATGTAAGGCTCGTATATAAAGATAGGACCCTCCTCCGATTTTGGTACTGGCAGTAGAGTTGGATCTGCTGTCTGACCAAACTTAATGCCTGTGGAGAATTCGTTTGCGGGCTTAGGAGGCGGCAACTGCTTCTCCTCCTCGCGCTGCTTTTCAGCCTTCTCGGCGAACTCGCTGACAATGGTGGCAGCGTCCTTGCCGCTGTACATGAGCTCCTCAATGAGGGCCTGCTTGTCACGAGCCTTTTTCTTTTTATGCTCGGTTTCCAGCTCTTCCAGCTCCTTCTTGCGCGACTCATCCTGCACGCGCTCCAGCTCCAGTAACTCTTCCAGGGCGCATTCGTCGCGGCCAACGCGTGTTTTATTGCGCTGAATTACCTCGCGGTTGTCCCGCTTATAGGCCTCGATGCGCTTGTTGGTCTCAATAATATCAATGTTGTTACACAGATTGTAAATTATATTTTCGATTTCTTCTAAATAATCATTATACTCCTCCAGCGTGGCAAAGTCCTCTTCGCGCTTGTTGTAGTCACGCAGAATGCGTCGTCTTATGTCCACCTCCTTCTCCACCATGGGATCTTCGAAGAGCTGTACACGAAAGTTGTTCCGCCGCAAGGGTACCATACATTCCGGACAAGCGCCGGAGCCCTTGAGGAAGAGCATATCCACACAAGATTCGCATAGCGTGTGACCGCAAACATTGACCATCAATTTTAGCGATGGATTCCGATATTTGGTGGTCTTGCACCGTGGACAGGCCTGCTCTTCCATCCTACTTCCGATCTTATAACAAAGTTTACTTTATATAGGTAATGGATATTAATGCCGGCCAATTGCAATGAATGACAAGTTATACTCGAAATGGCACCTACGAAATCAGCTTGTTTCGATAGCGATAAATCGTTAGCATACACCTCTGAAATATAAATTGTAAATTCATGGTCACCCCAAATCCAAATATATCGATACAACTCTCGATAGTTGAGGCGCGCATTTAAATGATAAAACGACATGCATGAATAAAACGAACTTTTAATTTTTTAACATTTTATTTTAAACAGCATACGCGGTAGTTGCTCACATTTAGAGTAGAATTTAAACATTGTTCTTTAATATACACGCATATATATACATATACATACATATGTATTATTTTTTTTTAATGATATATATATGCATTAAATAAGTATTTTAATAATTTACATCGATCAAAACCTTTTCTTATATGTACGTACGTAGGTTTCAGCAGCAATTTGTTGTGTTATTTCATTTTCCTTGTTTTCTTTTTATTTTTGAATTTATTTATATAAGTAGTTAAAAGCATTTCCAAGCAGATGCATAAACATTTGAAATCAATTAACATTTTACGCTGATTACTTGTTTTCGAAATTTGCGTGTGGTATTCCGTAATACTTGAGAAAAAGGTCGTATGTGTGGATGTGAGTGGGTGTGTGTGTATATGTATATAAGTGTGTGTGTTCTTGATATAAAAGCAGCACGTTTTGATATATATGAGAGTTACATATAAAATGCTATAGTGGGCTAATAGATTTAGGCTAACTTACGCGCTAAAATGTTGTTTGGGCTTACACAATGTATACAATCATCTTGAATGGACAAAAATAAAACAATTGATAGATTTACATACATTACATATACATATACATATACAGATTTATATATACGGATACGCACACACATATACGCGCTTACACAGATATCGGCGTATACGTATGTAAAGAAATCGACACGAAACCTAAAACAAGAAATGAATCAAAGGCGCGCTTTTTTCTCTGTATAGGCTCAACAAATTTTCGATTCAATTATAAATCGAATCACTGTAAATATCACAATTTAGTTAACACATACTATACAATGCATACAATTAAAATAAATTTTAACGGTCTGTCAATAACAATACATGTAGTGCTGCAACCATCTAACTAGTCGCAAGTTAAATAGTAATAAAAAAAAAATGAAAAGAAGAACATAACTCGTCGGGTCGGTTTGAAAAGTGTGGGGCAGCGAGCAGCGGGCAGCGGGCAGCTAAAGAGAGTTGGTAATACACAATTTGAAATGGTTATCAATCAGAAGCTAGCCCTGCAGTGCGGTAACCTCCTCCTCCAGCTCAGCGTCCACCTCATCAATCTTGGAGCCGCTGCAGCCGCGGCACTTGCAGCAAATGATGCACGGCGCAGCTAGCAGCAGCAGCGGCGATGCCACCAGCAGCAAAATGCCAAAGCCGGCAAATATCCCAATGACTTGAGCACGATGCCAGACGACAGAGGCGCGCGAGTGACCCAATTTATTCTTGCACGGTCCCTTGTCATAGTGGCGCAGCAGAAAGTCATCCTGCGAATAAGTGAATGCATTCATTAGCCTCAACAGACAACAGGCTGGTGTGGTGTACTCACATCGAGACTGGCCAGACAGTACCAGCAGAAGACGTGCTTGCACCGCTTGCACATCATCTGGGCGCAGCCCTCATCCTTTTCGATGGGCACCGCGCACATGGGGCAGCATTTGATGAGCTCGTTATCGAACGGTATGCCAATATCATCCTGGCCATCAGCAATCAGACGCCGTCCGAATTCCTCGCAGCTAATGTTTGGATGATACTGTGAAGGGAACAGAAATTCGATTAATTAATTGATTGCTGCAAGATTCGGCAGGTGCGCCCCAGGGAGTGAGCCAGAGCTGTGTAATTGCACAAACTTTTCATAGGCCGGGCACAGTCGTACTTACCGCCTTCTTGCAGAGAGCACAGAACTCATCCTTGCAGGATGGACAATGCACCGATATGGAGAGCAGTGGCTGAGCACCATCCTGTTGCGGTGTATAGCTCTGGGATGTGGATGGCGATTCATCCATTTGGCAGATCGCGCTGCCAGCCAGCCCAGTACCATTTGCACCATTTGCCGTGGCGGCCGCACCACCGGCTGTGGTTGCTGTGCCTGCTGATGAGCCCACCATGCAAATTGTCTCGCAGCCGGCACGTGGACACCAGGTGCGCGTTTTATCCAATTCGATTTCTGTAATCGAGAGAAAAGCGTTTGATAAATGATTGAGCAAGAGCAGCAGAGAGTGGGCTGGGAAAATTGGGCAGCAGCACGTACCTCGATTTAGGCGATAACGATGATGTTTCTTTAGCAAGTTCGTTGTGGTTAGGTTCGCGATTTCGGGCAGCGAAATGGCCCCCTGGGCGGGGCATTTGGCATCGGGGCAGGAGATCTCGTAGGCGCCTTCGTTTATCTCAAAGTCCACATAGGCGCGCATGCACTGCAAATCGAAGTGAAAATAAGTGGGGTTATTATTGATGGCGCAAAGTTTCATATAGTTGTTTTAGTTTCTACTCTACTCTTGTTGTTGTTGTTGATTGTTGTTGTTGTTGTTGTCGCAAAAACTAAACAATTTGGCAAGTTGCGCAGCTTAATCCGCTTTGAGCTGGCTCCAGCTCAATTCCATTAGCTCTATGGCAACCAGATACCACCCTTTTCACAGCTTCACATAGTGTGCGTGTGCGTGTGTGTGTGACCCTTGGGCAAAACTTTTGTCAAGGCATTTGGTAAATGCTGTTGCCTGCTTTTTGCATTGGCAGCCGCAAAAGTGTGGCTGTCAAAATTATTTCATTTTTAAGCACCCACAGCACAGCACAGCACACACACACACACACACACACACATCATACACATTGGCGTAGCCACAAACTTTCAGCAAGGACAAAATGCTCTGCGGAAGCTGTATAAATAAAGATTTAAAAACTTTGCCCGCCTCGACTCGGCTCGCTTGGTCGGCTCTGGGCTGCCCATCTGTCCCAAGTTCCATGTCCCTTACATATACACACACATACATATACATATTCTGCTTTAGCGCTGCTGCTCGGCCTTTTGCGCATTAAAGTAATGAAATTGCTAACGGTAAACGGAAATGGCTAAACGCTCTGGAATACCCTACAAATTAGAATGTCATGTGGCTGGAGCAAACAAATCTGAGCGAAGGTGCGAATGAAGAAATGAGTCTGAAATAATATAATATTAGCTTTGTGATAAGGTAAGGTAAGTGTATGTAATATAATTTGAAAAAATTGTAAAAGTTTGGCAAGAGTTTTGTTCAGTTTGTTCAGTTAAATATATTTAATTAAAATTATCGAAAAAATACTTTTACATTTTGTGTGCATATTTTAAATGTTTTTCTTTGCTTTAGCGTTGCATAAATATTATTATTTAATCAATTAAAAATAGTAGAAAAAAGTGTAGCATACATTTGTGCGTTGCGTTGCATTGCAATTGCATTGGAACTTGGAGCGAGCTAAGCAGCTTAATGGCATCAAGTGAAGTGCCGGCAACAATTTAATTTGCGTGCACTAAAAAATTACATAAAACGAAAGCCATTTGTTGCGGATTTTCCGCATTGACATTTTCCATAATGCAGGCAAAATGACAGCATTTTCTTTTTACGTTATTCTTTCTTTTTTTTTCTGTTTTTTTTCTGCTGCTGCAGCAGTCGCATCATATTTTTAATCGCGTCCATCAGTTCAAATCCCGTTCGCTTAATCCGCAAGCAGCTTGACGCTGGCCATGGAATTTACCTGGCCATCAGTCAGAGCCATGCCAGCGAGACTCTGCCTATGGCCACGCCTCAGCTCAGCTGGGAACCACAGCGGCAGTGGCAGCCACAGCCACAGCCGTGCCATAAGCTGCACAAAGCTTGCCGAAATGAATATGCAGCAGCAGCAACAACAACAACAATAGCAGCAACATCGGCAGCTGTTGCCACAATTTAGTGGCCTGCGGGCCAACAGTTGCAATTTATATGGAAAAGTGAGCCGCAGCCTTTTGGCTTGCAGCGCCAGCGACTATTTTTATTATTCCTACTAAATAGGGCCGCAAATAAATATGTTTTCATTCAAGCGCTTCATGAAAAAACACAGCAACGAAATTGCAATTAATTTTGCAGAGAATATATTACAAAATGGCAACAAACTAATAATAAATTAAGTTTAAATATACGAGTAGAAAATGGAAGAGAGAATTATTACCAATGGTTCACTTTAAATATTAATTTAAAATGTTTGTAAGACTTGTAAATGTTCATCTCAGTACTTAATTTATATACATATATTTTTTATTTATATATCTAAACTCTAGATGTATAGCATTTATATTTTAATTTATTATTCATTCAATTTTATTTTGATTTTTTATTGAAATTTTTTCTTTAAATAATTATTTATTTTTGATTTGTATATTAATTTTTCATACATTATTTTTAATACTCTATTCATAATTTAATTATGATACAAATTTCAATATACATATTTTGTAAATTTGAAGTTTACATTTACTTAATTAAATTTAATTTTTTCATATATTTTTTTTTATTAATTTTTATTAATTTTTTTAAAATTTAGAATCTATTTTAATATTAGATTTTTCTTTAAATAATTTCATTTAATATTATAAATATATATAAATATAACTATATATTTTATAAATATATATTTTAAAACTATATATGTTATAAATATATATATATATATATATATATATATATATATGTTATAAATATATATAAATATATATTTTATGAATATATACATATTTTGTATTATTTATGTTTCTCAATCTTTAAATTTTTTTCTATAAATTTATTTATATTTTATATTATTTATATCGTATATCTTAATTAAATGCAAACAAAAATTCATTTTCAACAACGAAACCCAAAAAGGAAAGCTTATCAATATAGAAATCATTCAAATCGGCTTTTTACCCAGCCAATCTATTTGGGCCTAGACAATTTTCACCTT